GGGATTGAGTCCCACATTTCTCTCCCCCTGCCCTTCCTCTCCGCTAGTGCGCATTCTCTCTCTCTCTCTCTCAAATAAATAAACCTCTTACAAAAAAAAAAAATAATAATAATAGATAAAAATAAAGCAAGTCACAGAAGAATATTTACACTATGATTCTATTTATATAAAGTTGCAAAGGTAAAAAAATATATATTGTTTAGAATATGCACTTGTTTTGGTAAAACTATAAAGAATAAAGACAAGAAAGTGAATGATTCACACAAAATTCAGGGAAGTGGTTACTTATGAGGAAGAGAAATGGAGAGACATTCAATCAGGCAGGAAATCACAAGAGGCTTTAAAGGTACTACAAATTTCCTTTTTAAGCCGAACAGGAAAAACATCGATCTTCAATTTGTTCCATTCCTTAAAGATGTATGTTATATGCACTTTATACTTACGGTTTAATTCCATAATTTAAAAAGATACAGAGTTAAGAAATCAGAATTTGGGAGCTGTAGCCCAGACTCTTCCACTTACTGTGCAACCTTAAGCAAGTCATTTAAACCCTCAGAGCAGTTTTTCTTCTTATTTTATAGACGAGGAAGCGAACAGCTAAGACATATGTTTAGTACTTTACTGATTAAAATTCCTAGACTATGGGGCGCCTGGGTGGCTCAGTGGGTTAAAGCCTCTGCCTTCAGCTCAGGTCATGATCTCAGGGTCCTGGGATAGAGCCCCGCATCGGGCTCTTGCTCAACAGGGAGGCTGCTTCCCTCTCTCTCTCAGCCTGCCTCTCTGCCTATTTGTGATCTCTCTTGTCAAATAAATAAATAAATAAAATCTTTTAAAAAAATAAAATAAAATAAAGTTCCTAGACTACAAATATGCAAATATGTAAACATGAAAATATCCAGATAAACTGTGAGATGATAATCCAAAGTAATCCCTCTTTAATAAATTATAGAACATAATACCAAAAACTCAATGGAATGATATACAAGGCTATGCACATTCTAATACCTTCCTATCTCATAATAATGGCAACAGTATTTTTTTTTTTTAATTTGACAGAGAGAGATCACAAGTAGATGGAGAGGCAGGCAGAGAGAGAGAGAGAGAGAGGGAAGCAGGCTCCCCGCTGAGCAGAAAGCCCGATGCGGGACTCGATCCCAGGACCCTGAGATCATGACCCGAGCCAAAGGAAGCGGCTTAACCCACTGAGCCACCCAGGCGCCCGGCAACAGTATTTTTTAATGTGTACTATGTAACCAACCCACAGTGTTAAATACTTTCCATGGATTATTTTGTTAAATCCTCAAAACAATCCTATGAAATTATTCTCTTAATGCCCACTTTACAGATAAGACCATTGTGCCTAAGGTCACACAGCTAGCAGTGGAAGGTGGACCCACTTCAGAATCCACATCTTTAACCACCACATTAGTTATGCCTCACTTCTCTCACTATATTTAAATCATCTCTCTCCCAACAATGAAAACTCCTTGACAACTGTTTTTTGTTCATTTTCATTTCCCCTGACATTTAGCAGGTAATAAGTAAATAAACACTGAACAAATAGTTCATATATGTAGGGTTTTCAGGTCATAAGGTTATTTTAGGGCATAAAGGCATTGTTTCCCTTGACAGCCTTGCAAAGTATAAAAGTTTTGTTTTTATTATTTCAACCATATTTAAATGTACAATTCAGGAGAAGTAATGTTGTGCAACCATTACCACTAAGTATGAAAGGTTTTTTGTTTTTTTTTTTTTAAGATTTTATTTATTTATTTGACAGAGAGAGATCATAGGTAGAGAGAGAGAGAGAGAGAGAGGAAGCAGGCTCCCCACTGAGCAGAGAGCCCGATGCGGGGCTCGATCCCAGGACGCCGGGATCACGACCTGAGCCGAAAGCAGAGGCTTTAACCCCCTGAGCCACCCAGGCGCCCCAGTATGAAAGGTTTTTAATGACTTTACTGAAATCACTTAGCTATCAAGTAGTAAAATGGGAAATTTGAACTCAGGACTCTGCACCTCTAAATTCACAGGCCATTCATTACCAAGGGGCCTACCAGTACCTCCTCTGTTCTCTCCTTACCAGAACATCAGAAGAATCAAACAAACACTTTATATACATTTCCACTGTACAGATGCCCATAGCTGTGAAGGAGGAAAAAATCCACTAAGACATTTCTCCTAAGCGATTAGTTTTCATTTTGAGCTTTCAAAAGCCAGAGCTTTAATATAAATATCTCACCTCTAGCTCAAGCCTGCAGATCCACAAAAGCAATGTCTGGACCCCAGAGTAAAGTTATGAGAAATGCTTGCATTAGTTAGATTACACCCTCATCAAATTACAGGTAACTGCTCAAACCTGGACTTCATTATAATAAAGCTTCCTTATAATAAAACACTTTCAATTCCAAGGATAAGGCCAACCTTCCATCATTCTGCCTATTTTGGATCTACAAAAAAGAAGAAAAAAAATCCTAAATTTTGGGCATTTTTACGTGCTCCACTGTCAAACCAAAGAAAATGGTTTGTTTACAAGCTGAACTCTGAAGCCTGAACAAAAACAGAATAATTTGATCCTGTTGATGCCAGTTTTATCCTCTTTACACCCCTCCCCACGTTTTCTCAGTCTGAGCTCTAATCAACAGCCACTTCATGTTTAACATATCATAGTTAATGCAATTAAGTGCAGAAAATTGGTTCCCTAAAGCTGTTTCCCCCAGTCACATCCCTCTTTACCTTCCAGCATCACCAGTCGGCCATAAGAATAAATATATCATGACGCTTTAAAGAAAATTGCTGATGAATAGATGGAGACATTGTCGCTGCAGTTAATGCAATGTGCCTACATCAATACCAACCCTTAAAAAATAAAATAAAAATGATTCTACATGCTTTATTTATCCACATCTGACAGAATTCTGACCACCTGAATTCCTTTAGAAGAAAATTCAATCTATAGAAATATAGTCCAATTATTTTAAATCTTATCGAGTAATGCCAAAAGAGAATCAAATGAAAAACTCCATCAATACCAAACCATTTCACCAATGAATATTTATGACATTTCCATATTTCCTGTCTTCTCTCTGTTTACATAAAGCAGTGGTGCCAAGATTCATCTCAGGATTATTAGCCTGCAATACAATGATGGGCCTAATTGCCTTGCAAACCAGGACACCAATAAATGGAGTCTTCAGACAATCAATTTTAAGGGGTGGGGGGGGAGGCCTAAGCTCTTTCTACATACGTGCACATTGCCTGACTAGAAAATAAATTCAGCCTCGTATTTTTCAGTGTCATTCATGGGTTCTCAAGCAAAGAATGCTCCCTTAAATACCTCAAGCTCATCAAATCTATTTAATTCCAAATTCCAGGACTAATTTTTAAATGCACCAAGGGGACGGCAGAAAAGAGAAGGCAGAGACATCATACAGAAAGATTATCTATCACGTTCCAGTTTTATCTTCACCTTTAGTTCAAGAGTAGGTTTTTTCCCCAAACTTTCTTTTTATAATAAATGAATAGAAAACACCCTCCCCTGCTTAATTCTGCTTTAACTGAAGCCCCTCTTAACTTTACCCTTAGGGTTGATTTACTAATGATATTAATACAAATGAAACAAAAAGACTGAAATAACAGCTTAAGAAGTCCTCTAGGAAAGAGTCTTTAATGCATCTTCTCTGTCCCTTGCAAAGTCCCCTCTGATTACTGTTCCTCCCCCAACCACAGCCTCCAAAGCTGTCCATTTAAGTCCAACCCCTGACCCTCCTGTGTCTCTTGGAGGACATCGGAATCCTTCCTCTCTAGAATCATCCAGTGCACCTCTTCCCAGCCCTGCTCACTGCCCCACTCCATCCTCCCTGCCCCATCCATACCTACAACTCAAGGTTTCCTACTCGTTAAATAGCCTCTTTGCCACCTTACTATCAGCAACCACCTCTGCAGTCCTATGAGTTCATCTCAGACACTGCTTCTCCAAAACTCCCTCTGCCACCTCAGCCAAGGGACATTTTCTTTAAGATACCATCCCCCAACCTTGTTCACCACCTGCCACTATTCCTTCAGTGAGTCTAGCCCAGCAGCGTCTTCTGAGCCCTCTGCCTCACGCCTGCACCCAAGGAGCCACCATGCCTTTTCCAGTCCTTCTAAAATCACCCTAAATCCCATCTCCTGTACCCACCTCCAATTTCAATCTCTGCCTGACCATTTTGGGCCTAACTTCTAATTTACCCCCCTCCTGCCAGCTCACCATCACACTCCTCTCACTGAAAGTCCCACCCCCAACAGCTCCTATTCCAACCTCCATGAGCATTCCCCAGAAAAACCCCAAATTCTACCTCCTCTGTTCTCCTAACCCACGCTATTCCATAAGTCTCCACAAATCCCACCACCCAGAGATGGCAAACGCCCACTTCCAGCTCAGGTCTCAACCCGTGCCAAGCCCCTTACTCCCAGCTCTACCACCTCCATCAGTCTGCCTTAAATCCACCCCAAATTCCACTCTCATGAATTAACACCCCTCCCCCAGGGTCCTATCCAAACCTGCAATCCCACTGTGTATTGAAATCATCCCCCTACCCTGCACCCCGGCTGGATCCCAAGCTGTCAACTGCTCCAAGCCAACCCCAAATCCATCACCCTCATTCAGTCCCCTCCCCCATTAAAAGCCATCCCACTCCACTCTCATCATCTATCTCGCCCAAAACCATCCCAAATTCCACCCCCACCTCCCAATCTCACGCTCCTGTCCCATATCGGGTCAATCGCTATTAAAAGTCCCCTTCCCTTGTCGCCCCCCCCAACCTGCTTGGGTCCCACCCTCACCCCACCCCCAGCCCCGCGCCAGGGCAAGTCTCCCCTGCCAACCCGCCGTTCCATCGCAGCCTCAACCCCCTTCCCCCAACCCGCGCGGGGTCTCAGCAGCCCCCACTCTCATTCTCCATAAGTACCACCGGCCCAGGCTCCAGGAGAGCCGACCGGGAGAGGGGGGGCGGTCTCCTCACCGGCTAGCCGCTGCAGGCGAAGACGACGGCGGAAGGCGGCGATGCCCTTGTCTTCTCTGGAGGCTACAGTGGCGACGCTCTCGCTCCCTCGCCCGTGTCCAGTAAGGTGGCGGATGGCGCGCAGGGAACGGGAGCCTCCTCCTCAGACTCGGCTCTGAATCCTCTGCAGTAGCCGACGAAGAGCCCGACGGGTGGGGGGAGGGGACGCTCGGCTGCGGGCGAGGGAGAGGGAGGAGGAGGCGGAGGGAGGGGGCGGGGGACCGCTAAGAAGGGCGGGGAAGGAGGAGCCTGCGCGGCGCCGTGACACGTCCCACAGCGCGCCGGGACCACAATTCCCAGCATGCCCTGCTCGGGCCCGCGCGTGGCCTGCGCGGCCTGCGCTGGCAGCCGCGCGCCTTATACCGAGGGGCCGAACCCTTCCTGGTTACGGACAATGAAGTAAAATCCACCATCCGCTGGCGGCTTTTGTGGGCTCAGAGACCACTTGTGAGGAAAGTTAAGTGCTCTCTTCTCCAAGTAGCAATGTTTGCAGCGTCTCCAACCTCTTTACGCTCGGACATACATCCCCGCCTTCGTCCCTGCTGGACTACATTTCCCAACATGCCCCACAGTCTCCCGCCCTTCTTCCGGACCCTTCTCAAAACGCGGTACTACAGTTCCCAGGGGGTGTGGTGCCTGCGAAATGCTGGGAGATGCAGTTCTCAGTTCTTCCTCCATGTTAAGGAAAAGAAGCGAAAGAGAAGAAAAAGGGTGGGAGTATGCCAACCCACTGAGAAGAGGCCTCGATGGGATAGATCACCTGAGTCTGTATTCTCTTCGCCATCCCCGTTGCCACTGTCACACCAGAACTAATGCAGCAGCTTCTTCCTGGTCTCCTTGCAATTCAGAGGACAATTTGGCAACTGAAATCCAAATGTGAAAAGAAGATACTTCTTGACCCTGCTCCATTACTTTACAATTTTTACCTTAAAAAGAGAATGAAACATTTTAGGAAAGATGAATGCACAAGGTGGTTATATGGGATTGCTGATTACAGGGGTAATGTAAATGTCCGTCAATAAGGGCTAGTTAAATTATATATACAAACAATGCAGTAGTAAGCAGCTATTCAAAATAATGATATAGATCTATTTATTGACACGAAAAGCTATTCACAATTTATTCTCGAGGGAAACAAATTGATTACAAAACGTTTAAAATGGTATAATTTATGTGATGTGTGAGAGGATATTCTATAAGCAAAGGGATTTCAGGAAAGAGGTTCCTCAAAATATTATTAGTGATTATCTTGAAGGAAAGGGTGTCAGATTTCAAGTATTTTCATTCTCTTACTGCCTAAATTGTTTAAAAAGAGCGCATAGTTTAAGTTATAAGACTATTTTCAAGAAATGTAATTTCCAAATCCAGCAACCATACTTTGCTGCCTAAAAAGCTTATCATGGGTTCCTGTTGCCCTCAGTGGTGCTTCAGGATGAGGCCTGTCTGGTTTTTCTGTGAGCTCAACAGTTCCACTATTAAAACAAATAATGGTGGTAACTTACAATTCATAAAAGACTGTTAAATCAGTACAAAGAATGTTCTCTATTTTCATTGTCTATTCTCAAAATTTTCCTCCTTCTGGTCTTTCCATAGCCATTTCCTCCTTTTCTCTTCATTCTTGAAACTCAAGCCAAAGTCCTACCTTCCCTAGAACATATTTTAGGCACATTGATCTTCCTTGTATCTGAAATCTTATTGCACTGGTTTTAATCTGTGGGCCAAATATCTCTGTGGAGCTGGGGAGTGAGGAGGGAGGAACAGAGTTATTGTAAAGGGTCTGCAAAGCTTTACTTAAACAAAACATTGTCTATAGATAGAGTAAGTCTTATACTTAAAAACATAATTTGCCTTCTTCTGTGTCCAGCTCTCCTAACATGGAATATGGCATCAGACAATCTCTGATGTAGCATAAATCCTGTATCCAATTACAGTATTTTTAGATTTTATAAGTCATTATTCCTTGATGTTCTGAAGACCAAAACATTCAAGCTTCACTAGCCAGCCCACTGGAGAACAGCAGGCCTACCTGAGAAAGGCCAGCTTTCCTATATCAGAGGTTAATGCGGTCCACAGCCCTGCTGCAGCCAATCTCTTCAGCTTCACTCCACCTACTCTAGTTACACTCCTATTCCTTATGACTCACTTTACCCAAGTATATCAGGCACTGTCATTTTCAAACTGCCTATCTCATTTTTCAACCTATTAGCCCAGCCTTAAAATACCAGTCCACCCACACCTCCCCAAAAAATCCTAGCCCCTCTGATCCCTTTTCTGAGAATAAGAAAATTACCTATGATATGTTGACTATGTGACAGGCAAGTCCCTTCCCCTCTATAAGTGTTGCATTGGCCACACCCTCTTCTCTCTTTACTCCCTCTCCTCCTTTTTCCCACTTCTCCTACTGGCACAAAATGGGGACTAGGTGAAGATCAGAATTAGAATGGATCTAATCTGGCGAACAGTAAAGCATTATTAGAGTTAGGCGCCTAGGTATGAGGAAGTTTACCAGACTAGGAATCTGGGAATCAGATGATAAATCAGACCTTGCTATGAACATGCTGGGTGACCTTTAGTAAGTCTCTTAACTTTTCTGAATCTCGGTGTTTACATCTGTAAATTGGAAGGAATGATTCCTGCCCTGTCACCTCAAAAGTTTATTAGGAGAATCCAATAAAGCAATGAGTATAAAAATGCTTTGAAGACTGTAAAGTGGCATTTATAGCCCAAACCCTTCATCTAATTGGATGATTCTCTCTCCAAAACCCTGCCAAGTGTTGGCAGGTAAACTGTTTACTCAGAATTATACCATTATTAATGAAATTATTAAAGTATTTCAGGAATCAACTCTATTAAGTCAATTTTAGCCCTTGATAAACTTTCCATATAGCAAAAACAATTTCTGATTTTTCTGAAATTTTTTCTTTATTGAATTTTCATCAAGATATATTTTTTCTATTAATTTTATAAGAAAGATTAGATTCATCAGTTATTTTTTATCTTTATCGATTTTTACTGATTATTCCTTCAGCTATTTTGAAGTTTCTAGTCATTTTTTCCACCAATTCCACCTTTTCCTGGAAGAGATTTGAACCATTGTCATTTTTATTTTGTGTCGATTATTTCCACCAAGTGGAATTTCCCCAGGAGTCAACTTTGCAATGTTTAATATTACCAACGAAGATGGGATCATTCAGCTTGCTTTTCCATCCATAATAAATTTTTACCACATGTAGTTTTAGCCATTTTCAGTTTTATTTTGGGCTCATTATTTCTACCACATCTTTTTTTTTTTTCCTCTGCAACCCAACCCAAACAAACTCAGGAACAAAATGACCAAAAAAAAAAAAAAAAAAAAAAAGTCAAAACACTAACCTTTGCCTATTACTATCTGATTAACTGGGATTGTGAGATGGTTTTGTATCAGCTATGTTAATGAGTCTGTTTGAGCTCTCTTTTTCTCTCAGAGCATCTCTTTAAGAGCATTGACACATATGTGTGAGCTGGACTATTACTTTAAGAATTGCTTTAGGGTTGCCTGGGTGGCTCAGTTGATTAAGCAGCCCACTCCTGATTTCGGCTCAGGTCATGATCTCAGGGTCCTGGGACCAAGCCCCATGTTGGGCTCCATGCTCAGCAGGGAATCTGCGTCAGGATTCCCTCTCTCCCTCTGCCCCTCTCCCTGCTTGCTCCCTCTCTCTGTCTTTCAAATAAATAAATCTTTTTAAGATTTTATTTTATTTATTTGTCAGAGGGGGAGAGAGAGAGAGACAGAGCACAAGCAGGTGGAGAGGCAGGCAGAGGGAGAAGCAGCCTCCCTGCTGAGGCAGGAGCCCGATGTGGGACTCCATCGCAGGACCCTGGGATCATGACCTGAGCCAAAGGCAGATGCTTAACAGACTGAGCCACACAGTCGTCCCTAAAATAAATAAATCTTAAAAAACAAACAAACAAACAAAAAGAATTGCTTTAGAATTGCAGGAAAGAGGTGCCTGGGTGGCTCAGTTGTTAAGTGTTTGCCTTTGGCTCAGGTCATGATCCCAGGGTCCTGCGATGGAGCCCCATGTCAGGCTCCCTGCTCGGTGGGAAGCCTGCTTTCCCTCTCCCATTCCCCCTGCTTGTGTTCCTGCTCTCCCTCTCTCTCTCTCTCTCTCTTAAATAAGTAAATAAAATCTTTAAAAAAAAAAAAAAAGAGTTGCAGGAAAAATGGACATTAGAGACCATGTTAGGAAAACCAATCTTTAACGAGCCAGGTACTGTGCTGGCATCTAAGATCCATTATCTCATTTAATCCTTCAGCCTAAATTTCCTTCACATGCCCACTTTATAGTAGAGAAAACTGAGACTCAGAGAGACAGAAAAAGAAGCCAAATTAGGATCAGAAACCTGAACACCCAGCACAATTTGAATGTTTATAAGTTCCAAAGTTATGTTACTTAATTTTTAACTTTTGCAATCATCTTAATGGAAAATTAAAAGATTTTTTAGTTTAGCTAAGACAATTGAGAGAAATACATGAATATAAACAAAGCATCCACAAAGAGCTTTTGTAAATTAAAAACAGAATTACTGTACAATCCAGTAATTCCACTGCTGGGTACTTTCTCAAAGAAAATAAAAATAAAAACACTGATTCAAAAAGACATATGCACCCCATGTTTATTGCAGTATTATTTATAATAACCAAAATATGGAAGCAGCTCAAGTGTCATTGATAAATGTCATTCACTGATAAATGAATGGATAAAGAAGATGTGGTATATATATGGAATACAATGGAATAGTACTCAGCCATAAAAAAGAATGAAATCTTGCCATTTGCAGCAAAACGGATGGATCTAAACAGTATAAAGCTCAGTGAAATACATCCGTCAGAGAAAGATAAACACCAAAGGATTTCACTCGTATGTGGAATTTAGGAAACAAAACAAACAAACAAAACAGGATTTTAACTCTAGAGAACAAACTGATGGTTACCATGAGTTGGTGGGGGATGGGTGAAACAGGTGAGGGGAATTAAGAGCACACTTACGGTGATGAGCACGGAGCAATATATAGAATCGTTGAATGACTATATGGTACACCTGAAACTATTAGATACTGTGTGTTAATTATACTGGAAATTAAAGGTTTTAAATATGTATTAACAAGAGATTTTTATAACAGCAAATGAGACAAGGAGTGTGAAAATGGTGTGTAAATGACCAAATCCTGGGCAAGTGGAAG